GGAGCAGAAAGCCTCATCTTTCTCCCGCGGAACAGCTGGTAGTTTCGAACTGCTGACCTTAAGGTTCATATCCCAATTCGTAACCACTACGCTACCAGAGTTCCCTGTGTTTTGGCATAGTATTTGAAAAAATCCTTCATTCAATGGTCTAGCCCAAGGTCACAGTGATCTTCTCTATTTACTTTTAGTAGAAATAATAGTGCTTTATTTATAAATAAGAATGGTGGTGTAGTGAGGCCTGCTAACCAAAAGGTTAGCTGTCTGAACCACCAACTGCCCCACGGGACAAACAGGTGGTAGTCTGCGTCTGTAAAGAGTTAGAGTCTTGGAAACCCTGTGCGCATAGAGCAGGTGTTTACATATGGATTTCCAATGATTTCAGCACCATGTGCTGAAGCCCCTCCTTGTCTCATTGAATTGCCTTTGTTGGAATCAGTTCAGCACATGTGGGTCTATTCCTGGATTCTCTGCTCTGTTCTGTGGATCTACTTGTCTATCTTTATGTCAATATCACACTGCCTTGATTACATAATAAGTCTAGAAATCCAGATGCGATGCGTGAGTCCTCCAACTTGCTCCTCTTTGTCCAATTGTTCTGGTTAGTCTAAGGCCTTTGCATTTGCACATGAATTTTAGAATCAACATATCAGTTTCTAAAAAAAAAAAAAACCCAAACCCTGCTGTGATGATTTTGGAATTGTATGGAATCTATAGCTCAATCTGGGGAGAACTGTTGTTGTTGTTGTTAGCGCTGTGGAGTCAGTTTCACCTCAGAGCATCCCTGTAACTGCTCTGAGGCTGTAAATCTTTGCGGAAGCAGAAGGTCTTATTTTTCTCCCCCGGAGTGGCTGGGGGACTTGAACTGTCAACCTTGTAGGGTGCAGTCCAGTGTTTAACCTACAGAGCCACCGTACTTTCTTGGGGAGAACAGACAATCTAATAATATTGAGACTTATCATATGGGAATTTGTAATATCTCTCAATTTCTTGAGGTCTTCTTTCTCTCAGCAATGTTTTAAAGTTTTCTGTGGAGGTCCTTCACATCTTTTGTTATACTTACCCCTAAGTATTTCACATTTTTTATTCTATTGAATTGTTGTTGTTATTGTTATGTGCTGTGGAGTCAGTTCCAACTCATAGAGACCCTGTACAGGGTTTCCAAGGCTGTAAATCTGTATGGGAGCAGAAAGCCTCATCTTTTTCCCATGGAGCGGCTGGTAGTTTCGAACTGCTGACCTTAAGGTTAGCAGCCCAATTCGTAACCACTATGCTTCCACAGCTATTCAAGTAGTAGTTTTTAAATTTCTAGGTTTTTTTTTTTTAAAGTGTTTTATTGTGAATTTTATGATAGTTTACATGGGAGAACATTAGTTTTACATTCATTGTATCGTACATCGTATCATTGCCATGGTTACAATCCCCTCCATGCATCATCAACCAACCATCTCTTTTCACCAGACCCATCTAGACAAGATGA